GCGTGTCAGCGGTTTTCATTTCCAGACGAACGCCCTCACGCTGCGAAGCCCGGGCCAGAAATAAGAGAGGAAGAAAGAAAGAGCTGCCCGTGCTGGTAAAGCAAAGAAGAAACAGGAAACAGTGGGCTGGATCTGATGGGCTGCCATTTTCAGGTGGAATAATCAGTAAATCGTTAGCAATTTCTTAATTGTGCCGCCATTCCCCTCCATACATGTGGCATTCCCATGAAGATATAACCACAGCATGGCGCATCCCTTAAATACTTCTGCCTATACCTAGAGTTATATCCGGATTTTTTATAAAAAAAAAACATTTTTCTCCTTCTATTTCACTTTTTCAGCCCCAAAATCACCAGGCCAGCAAAACCACTGCTGGGTACCCCGGGTTACACAGCGACATGAGCGAAGGGAGAACGCAAAAGCATCGCGGACTTGATGCCGATAACACGGGTACCGAAAGGCTCACCAGAGCAACCTCGCTGCCCAGAAATGTTTTAAAATATTTGGGATAAAGAACAGATCTGCTAATGTCTGCAGATCTCCGGGATATCTGATCCGAATCCTTCCGAAGGCGAAATCCCCCCACCAGCCCCGTGCGGCGGCACCGGGTGCGCAGGTTGGGCGCAGGGTGCAAGGGGACCCTGAGCAGCTGCCACCAACCCCAAGCAGCTGCCACCAACCCCAACTCCAAATACAATTTCACAGTTCCCAGCCCTGCTCCAAATCGGGAAAAATAATCAGGTTTTCCCATTGAAAAGGTTGGGGAAACACGAGCAGGCCAGGCTCGGCTCAGGAGGACGCGTGTTTTTGTGGGGTTTCTCCGTGGCCCCACAGCAGAGCCTCTCCCCCTACACGATAAATGATTCCCGGGCGATACACGAGCCATCCTGCTCTGCCCATATCTATAAATTAAAAGCCGTGGCAGGCAATGTTCCTGGCTGCCACCGCTGCTAAATTATGAACCTGCTCCCTGGCACGGCTTTTGGCTCAGCCCTTCGAGCAACGTCCTGGATGACACCTGGGGACGGGCACTGCGGCCCCTCACGGCCACACTGGGGCAGTAATAGGATCAACTTTTCCCTTTTCCTTCCCTCCAGCATCTCCCAAAAGCCCTCTGGAAGCAGCAGGGATGTGCCTGGGGCAGGGGAAGGAGGAGGTAGGTGGCTGTACCCTTTTGGGTGCAGCATCACTTCTTAACGAGACCACCACACGTAAAATGCCCCAAATCCAACCACCTTCACCTCTGAGCTGCGTTAAAAATGCAGCCACCTCCTCTTTGGTGAACAATTATCTCATTCAATGGCTTGATTCACTGATGTCTTAATGACAGCCTCCCCCGTTGTTGTTTTTTTAATGTTTAAAATCTGAAATAAACGAGCCCTGTCAGGCTGAAAATTCTGGGTAGGTGCTGGTGGCTGTTTTCAATAAATAATGATGAGAAGTTTCAATTTACCCATCATCTGGCAGATCGCGTGACGAGGTTGTCATCTCCTTTCAAGCTTAAAACTCCATTCCTAGCCATGCCGGGAATGTCATTAAATATTGTGGCAGAGGCACCAAAGTTGCTTCGCGGAAGCAAATCTCGCTCCAGCAGTAAATGGAGAGGCCGAGGGCAAGGCACGGCCACGGGAGGATGGGGATCCGTGTCGGTGAAGCCCCACATCCCAAAAAAAATCCCGAAACACCGTGCCAAGGGATGCTGCAAGCACCCATGGGGTGAAGCCTGGTCTCCTGGCATCCCCCAGCTCACACCCTGCACCCCACAGCACCTCCCAGTCACCCGTCCCATCCAACAAGCCCATTTCTCCCCAGCTCTTCTCTGTATTTCCCCCGATGTTAAATTATAGTCATTTTCCCCATTTAGAGCCATTTTGCTCCATTAAAGCTGCCTCGCCACGCACCCAGCCCGGGCGGCGAGGCAGCACGGCCACCCCACGCAGCCCTCCTTAGCTCTGCTTTCCTCCAGGCAGCTTTAAAAAAAAATAAAAAATAAATAAAATAAATAAAAAAAATCTCGGCGGATCATCTCAAAAGCTTCATCAGATTCCTATTGTCCACATAATCCAAATGGTTTCAAAAGCAAACCGCTACCTGCTGGTAGCCGGAGCGGCTGCCAGTTACCAGATGTCTGGCTTTTGTTGTCGATAACTGGTGTCGTTGTTTTTTTATTATTTTTTTTTTGCACAAAAATGAGGACGGTTTTGATCTGGCAGCACGAGATGCGCCACGGATCGATTCACGGCCAAAAAAAAAAAAAAAAAAGGGCCTCTTTAAGGCCGTCTGCGCCGACGGAAATTTCGTCGGAGTGGGGCATGATTGGCTCTATTTAATGTAAACCTGCTTTCATACCCCCAAATTCAAAGAATGCTCCCTGCTTTGCATTTCAAAACGAATCTCCGTGTTTATGAAATCACTTTTGAGTCGCAATTACAGTTATTTGTCTCTGGGATACACAACATGTAATTGGGTCAACATTGTTAATGAGCTCGTCGCATTATTGTTAATGAGCTACCAGTGTTGGTTGCAGTGTTTCATCCCCAGCAGGCAGCAAATACAATATGTTAAGATAGATAATTATGGTAATGTGACGAATACCCACAGACCAAAGAAGTCATTAAAAATATGAAACAAAGAGGTTAAGTGAGACAATCGCGTGGGGGCACGGCAGGGTTGGTGGAGAGGAGCCCTTCCTTTCGTGAACGGGGGGCTGGCATCGCACGATTTCACGTGGCATGGCTGGAGACCTGCCCGGTGACTTGTGTAAGCCCATAATTTTATAGGTTTTATTTCATTTTTGGGTTTGAAATGTATATATATGGGCATATCTGGGCCCAAACACTTCTCATGGAGCCCCAAAATGTGCAGCTGGTGAGAATGAATGAAATACGGAAGGGTTTTGGCTCACGTATGGCACGTCAGAAGAGGGAAACAAACATTTTCTACGGGGAGGAAGAATCTTCAGGGTCTGAAAATGTAAAAAAGTCAGATGGGTCCCCGAGGGTTTTCTTGAAGTCAGAGAGAAGCAGGAGTTAATCCGTCGTCTCCTAAAATGTGCGGTTTGGAGGGCCCGAAAATAAAGTAGCACAATGTAGTGCTTCGGCTTCATTCAGCACGACAAGTGACAATGATTGATGAAAAAATAAGCAGTCACGAGAAATAATTGAATTGTGAAAAATGGGAAGCCGGTTTTTGAGGAATTAATGAAGAATAATGGAAATGATTGAGTTTTGAAATAATTAAAAAATATTAATGGCAAATAATCCGGATGTGCAGATGGTTATAACTGAGAGCATCTGGGGAGAAATGCTATTTATTTGGCAGGGGCTAAATACCGAGGAATTTAAACCAAAGCTCTTTTCCCCTGCATGTATATTTTAGCTGGGAGCTTTCAGCCAGGCCCGCAAACAAAACCTCACGGTTTTGCTGGGAGCTCCAGCCAAAAAATTGATTTTCAATCAATTCCCTGGAGCTCACATGGCATCTTCGGTTTCCTACGGATACATCATTAGTGCCTTCAAAAAATTCATTTCCTTCCAAGGCCTTTTTTTCACTCAAAAAAAAAAAAAAAGTGGGTTTTTCCAAAAGAAGATCATGCCAATCCAGCCTAATATTGTCCTCTGCTAGAACAAATTATTTCCATATTTCTAAAACAATAACAGCAGGGCAGATACTGCCACCAAAGGCTCTTAGAAAAAATAAAGGGTCTCGGATGTAAGTGGGAAATTTTTGCCAATGGGGCCACGCTGGAAGAGAGGGTGGAGGCTAAAGCTGGACCTGGAGGAAAGCCAGCCTGCAACTGCTCCTGCTCTTTTTGTGTTTATTTTAATGGGCTTAATAGGAAAAATAGAAGTGCAGTGATGATTTTTAGTGCTTAGTTGGGAAAATTCAACAATATGGAGAAGGTTCGGCGTATTAGAAACGAGGAACGGGGAGAAAGAAGTTGCAAATTAATAGCACAGAGTGAAAAATGATGCTTCTGGGCATTAACTGCAGGAATTTCTGCTGAAACAGGAAAATCAAAATGCCTACCTTGTCCAATGTGTTAGGACCTGATTGTCTCAATCAGATATAGCTCTATATCTTTTTTTTATAACTTTTGAGCTCTAAAAAACATTGGGAAGACCCCAAGGCCTGTGAAACAGGTAATTTGCACAGCATTTTTAATTTTGGGAAGCTTTCTGCCATGGGAAGAAAGAGTGGTGGGACCGTGGTGGAAGGTCACCGGCCCTCCTAGGGCAGGTGAGGTGGGGTAGGGCAAAACCAAGAAAAAAGGACGTATTTATAAGTGGATGCTGAAAAACCCAGTTTAGTCATCACAGGGGCGTATCGGGACGTGTCTGACCAATTTCTGCAATTACGCAGCAAAAAGAGGTAATCAGACAGGAAAAATGAGCACTTGGGCTCAGGGCTGCTGAAGGAAGAAAAGCGCTGTAGAGATGCTGTCCGTTCATAAAGGCTCCTGATTTTCGAACAAATTTAAGTATCAAAGGACCTGTTTTCTGGCTCAGCCTTTTAGTAAGATTAGTGGAGAAAAGAAACCCAGCTAGCTTTGAGGAATAGCCCGATCAATTCACAAAGCAGTCTGTGCAGCACTGCTCGCTGATACAGGAGTGGGCTCAAGCGGTATTTTCCAGTCCTTTATCTTAGGTCCGCACAACCCTATGTAAAAACATTTAATTTGGGGTTGGAAACAAAGCTAAAGGAAAGTTCGAGGCACAGGAGAGGGAAAGGAGAGGTCTAAAAATAAATAATTCCCCTGCTCAATAATTCATTGGCTCGTCTTTGCCAAGTCCTGAAGCACTTTTAGGAAGAACTCGAAAACACCTTCCCATTTATCTCCTGCAAACTCTGGTTTATG